CATCAACTAAAATGTAATGCCTCAATTTTGTCATTAGCCCTTGTGCGCTTTCACTTTAGTTGAAACCGACGCTTAAATTTTCTAGAGAATCGAAACGAGAATTAGAGATACATAGGAATTTGATTTGAAAGTAAATTTGGACAATGACGTCTACCTATAGTCCAGATTGCTTGCATTTCTCACAGTAAGTTTTACCTAAATAACAATTTTTTACTTTTAATCGATGAATTCAGTGGCTTCTTTTGAAAATACTGATTGTGGCCACAGTATTGTTGTGACATTGTTGGATTGTAATCAGATGGTGATGATGTTTTAAATCACAATGACGAAGACGAGTTTATCATCATCCGGGATTATCGGATGCAGTATTGCTGCGATAGATGATGGTACGCAATGATGATGATGTGCTACAAAGAGCCGAAAATAGGAAGTTGCAGATTTCGTGGCCTTGCTCTCTTTCATGTTAACAATTTTTCATTAGACAACGTAGGCGATTGTTCATCAGATCGAATATAGAGGATATCTACTAGTTTGGTTTGGTTTTAAAAAATAGCTGTTAGTATTAAATGCATGCAGAATTTAAGCAGAAAATATACAATTTTTTTAAGAGCAAATATTTGCTTTTCTAATACATTGGTGATAAACATTATCCTATAAAGTAAACTTCTGATGCTTATCTTCGGGGCAAAGATTCATACACAAGAGTGCTTACGGAAGATTAGAGACGGAGAATTATAACCTAACGGTGACCTGACAAGACTTCTTGCGAAGTCCCTGGTTGTAAACACCATCTGACACCAATTATTCGCGACGAACAGATTACCTTTAAATTTAATCAAAAATGAGTGATCCTCAACTTGTCAATGCAGAGAGACAACAAAAAGAGCTTGACCATCCGTTAAGCAAGTAATTTTGATAAAAATTTCCGTTTCGTATCTTTGTAAAGGTGGTTGTTTTTGTGTGTGTGTGTGTCTGAAGAGAAACATCTGTCTAAGTATCTTAGGCTAACGACAATTTAAGTAATAGTTATGTTAAACATTTTATACCATATATATGCCCTGATTTTATTATTACAGTTATTTGTTAACTGTTGTTTTGTGATACCAAATAAAGTTTAAAAGTTATTTTTAGCCATCTCTTATATGTTATCATATAATACTTTTTATTGAAAATTAACTCTCCCAATCGCCTTTTCTGAAGTACGTTTACCCCAACATTTTAACAAAAAAAACATCACTGTGCATTATTTACTGTTAACATTTGAAAAAGAATTCTATTTTATAAGATAAACAGCAGGTGAGAGATAGTCGTAGTTCAGGTCTGATTGGCTATTATTAAACGCGCTTGCGAAACTCCCCCATGACTGCTTTTTCTGAAAATAAAATAAGAATGTGTGACAAGGATTGCCAGGAATTTCTTTTCTCAGGGCTGGCTTTTTTTTGTCCCTCATTTTCGACGAGTCCTAAGGAAAAACACCTTTCATCAAACCAAAGATACTGATAGCAGTAGTTTAAAAAAGAGAACTTAAAGCAATTTTTTACTGCTTCGACAACTGATTACTTTCCAGTTACGATACGTTACGTTACATGACCGTCCTGTGTGTCGCGTGACTCAGAACTTGGTCAGTACAATTACTAGGTTACCAACACACGGAGTTTGTAAACATTTTAAGTTATGTTATCTATGTGATTGAGTGTTTCGGTTTTTGAACGAAAGTTTCAACGGATGAGAAGTTTGGGTATTCTTTGTTGGCCTTGGCTTTGGACCTCCGTGAATTCTGCAGTTTTAATTAAACTTTTCTTTCACTAGAAGTGTTACCAAGAATTCGACTGGATATTTGGCGTTTTATTTCGGTAGTCTTGTGATGTGTTTAGGCTCCCTCAGCTGGGAATCGTCAAGAATTCTGCACAAATATGATAAGAACCCGTGAAATATTCAGAAAGTTTTGTCCGGGGATGTTCCCCCAACTCAAAATTAAAACCGTTTACGCCTTTTATAACCAAATTTTGACCAAAAGGGCGATATCTGTATAAATGTATACCTTCCAGAGTAAGTGGTCTCTCTGTTACTTTCTTGAAATAAAAATAATGAATCCCTTTTCTACCCGAGACATGTTGTAATGACAATGGGAAAAATAGCTTTGTTTAATCGCGGAGCGACTTTAAATCACTTTGCCCTGTGGAAAACAAAATCACGTGACTGACAGTTAAGATTTTATAACATGTAACGATGTTATGATGTCATAGGCCCTTCGGGCTTGCGTAGTAGAATGAGATGTATTCCCGGATGTAGTTGTTGTTATATTACGGCTAGTAATTGCGGGCTTTTATGAGCTTCATTAAAACCGTTGTGTTAGCATCGTTTAGTCTCGTTTAGACTACGCTACAT